GAGAGAAACATTGACTGGTTGCCTCTCATACCCATCTTGACCAGGACTGAACCTGCAACCTATGCATGGGCTCTGACTGGGAATTGAAGCTATGATCCTTCTGTCTATGGATGGCACTCCAACCAGTTGAGCCACACTGGCCAGGGCAGGAAATTAAGTAGATGAAAATATAAGGGAATCAATTATGAAACCATGAACACACAATAAAAGAAATAAGATGGTTGAGTATGAAAATAATAATAGACCAATTACCTTAAAAGATTCAGTAATAAAAAGTATAAAACATTGGGATAAATTTAACAGTATTTGTGCTGCATGTGTATAAAGAATGTTTTAAAATGCTGCTTTTAATGCCTTTAAATGGAATCACTTGAACAAATTGAAAAGCATACCATGTGCTTGACTAAGAAGTCTCAACATCATAAAGATATTCGTTCTCCCTAAATTAATCTTTAGTGTGATCCCAGATAAACCAATGGGAATTTTCTTGTGATAAAGTTGGGACTAAATAAAATGATTTTTTTAATCATGTCAAAAAATAAAAATCAGGAAAATTCTCACAAGCATAATGAATTTTGGGGGTGAGGTGGTCCTATCCTTGCCAGATATTAAAACATTATAACACTATAATAATTAAAATTATTTATATGATATATGAGTAAACAGATTATTTGAACAAAATAGAAAGTTTAGCAGTAGATCCAGGTATAATTTAATTTATGATTAAGGTGGCTTCCCAGATAAGTGGGAAAAGATAAAAACAAATAGCCGTTTGGAAAAAATAAAACTGTATCCATTCCTTCCATCAACTTTAGAATAAATTCCCAGATGAATTACAAGTTTAAATGAACATAAAATGAAGTAACAAAGCTACCAAAAAAATGATGAGAAAGGATTTTTGATAACCTTTGACCTAAAACACAGAACCCATACAAGGAGAGATTTATAAATTCCATTATGTAAAAGTTAAAGTGTTTGCATAACAAAAACTGGCAGAAACAAAGACAAATGACAACTTTGGGAAAATATTTGCACTGTATATTATAGACAAATATCAGATTTCCCTTGTATGTGAAGCACTTCTATAAGCAATAAGAGCCCTGGCCAGTGTGGCTTAGTTGGTTGGGTTTTGTCCTGTGAGGCAAAAGGTCACTGGTTTGATGCCCAGTCAGAGCACGTGGTTGAGTTGCAGGTTTGGTCCCCAGTCAGGGCACTTTGAAGAGGCAACCAGTCGGTGTTTCTCTCTCACATGGATGTTTTTCTCCCTCTTTCTACCTCCCTTCCCCCTTCTCTAAAAAATAAATAAAATCTTTTTTAAAATTTACCTATCAAATTTTCAAGGAGTAAAGAGGCGTAAGTAGGTACACTTTGCCTCCTCACACAACCAAAAGAAGGACAACAAATTTAAAAACAAAAAATAACCAGAACTTCCAGAAAATTGAACTATATAGAAGTCTGACAACCAAGGAGTTAAAGAAGAAACATTCATCCAGACCAGTAGGAGGGGCGGAGATGGATAGCCGGGGCGGAGAGGACGCAAGGTAAGGCAGTAGATGGAGGCTCAGGCCAGTGAGGCAGCGGCTGGTGGACCAGGTGGTCCCATATTTGCCTGTGGATAAACCAGGAGGAACAGCTGGGGAGCAAGACAGACAGCACAATCCAGGGTTCCAGTGTGGGAAAAGAAAGCCTCAAAACCTCTGGAGAAACCTGTGGGGGTTGTGGCAGCAGGAGAAACTCCCAGCCTCCCAGTAGAGTCCGTTGGAGAGATCTACAGGGTCCTAGAATGTACACAAACCCACCTAACCAGGAATTGGCACTAGAAGAGCCCAATTTGCTTGCAGGTAGCAGAGGAAGTGACTGAAAATGTCACAATACAGTGACCATGATTGCCCCACTCTAGTGAATACCTAAGGCTCTGCCCCTCCCAATGTAACACACGCTGAAACAAAGAAATATGGCCCAAATGAAAGAACAGATCAAAGCTCCAAAAATAGAACTAAGCGATGAACAGATAGCCAGCCTATCAGATGCACAATTCAAAACACTGGTAATCAGAATGCTCACAAAATTGGTGGAGTATGGTCACAAAATGGAGGAAAAAGTGAAGGCTATGCAGGGAACCAACAGTAAAGGGAAGGAGACTGGAACTCAAATCAACTATTTGGAGCAGAAGGAAGAGATAAACATTCAACTAGTACAGAATGAAGAAACAAGAATTCAAAAAAAGGAAAGGAGGAGAGGCTTAGGAACCTCTGGGACAACTTTAACGCCCCAGCATAATAATCATAGGGGTGCCAGAAGGAGAAGAGGAAGAGCAAGAAATTCAAAACTTATTTGGAAAAATAATGAAGGAGAACTTTCCAATCTAGTGAAGGAAATAGACTTCCAGGAGACCCCAGGAAGCACACACCATGGCACATCATAATTAAGTTACTCAAGACTAGGGATAAGGAGAGAATCTTAAAAGCAGCAAGAGTAAAGGAGACAATTACCTACAAAGGAGTTCCCGTAAGACTATCAGCTGATTTCTCAAAAGAAGCCTTGTAGGCAAGAAGGGGCTGAGAAGAAGTATTCAAAGCCATGAAAGGCAAAGACCTACATCCAAGATTACTCTATCCAGCAAAGCTATCATTTAGCATGGAAAGGCAGATAAAGTGCTTCCCAGAAAAGGTCAAGTTAAAGGAGTTCATCATCATGAGCCCTTGTTATATGAAATGTTAAAGGGACTTACCTAAGAAAAAGAAGATCAAAAACTATGAACAATAAAATGACAATAAACTCACAGCTATCAACAACTGAACCTAAAAACAAAAACAAACTAAGCAAACAACTAGAACAGGAACAGAATCATAGACATGGACATCAAAGGGGAGGGGGAGAATGGGGGGAAAGGTACAGGGAATAAGCATCATAAATAGTAGGTAGAAAATAGGGGGAGGTTAAGAATAGTATAGGCAATGGAGAAACCAAAGAAAATACGTATGACTCATGGACATGAACTAACGGAGGGAATGCTTGAGGATGAGCAGTGCAGGGTTGAGGGAAATAAAGGGGAGGAAAAAAATGGGACAACTGTAATAACAATAATATATATATATGTTTTTTAAAAAATTGTCAAGGGGTCAGGTTTCTGTTAGCAGGTAACAACAACATACAAAAGCAGCATTCACCCACTTTGTGTTCGGTTCATGCTATGGAAAGTAATTTGGTAATACCTATAAAAGTTAAAGTGTACATACCCTTTGACCCAGCTTTTGTACTTTTAGAAATGTATACCTCACATGTATTCACCCATATGCAAGTTAATATATGTCTTAAATTATTTAGATTAGCATTGTTTTGCTACAGTGGGAAAGCAAAAATTTGGAAACAACCAAATTAATCATCATTAGAGAACTAGTTTTATTAACTATAGTGCATTAATACCAGTAATCCTCAAGATATTTTGCAACAAAATTAGTTGCAAAATAATATAAGCAATATGCTGCCACTTAAAAGTTTTTTATTGTGGTAAAATGCACATAACATAAAATGCAACATTTTAACTATTTTTAGTATACAATTCAGTGACATTAAGTCCATTGACAATATTGTGCAACAATCATCACTATCCATTTCTAGAATTCATCATCATCCCAGGTAGAAACTTGGTACCCATTAAGCAAAGACTACCCATTTCTCCCTCTCCCAGCCCCTGGTAATTATGTCTTCTACATTCTGTCTCTTAATTTTGCCTATTCTCGTACCTCATAGAAGTGAAATCATGCAGTAGTTGTCCTTTTGTATCTGGCTTATTTCACTTAGCATAATATTCTCAAGATTAATTTATAGTATAGCATGTATCAGAATTATATTTGTTTTTAAGGCTGATTGTATTTCACTGCATGTATATATAACATGGTTAATTCATTTATCTCTTGATGGATATATGGGTGGTTTCTGTCTTTCGGTCATTATGAATAATGCTGCTGTGAAGATTGGTGTAAGAGTATCTGAGTCCCTGCTTTCAGTTCATTTGGGTATGTATCTAGAAGTAGAATTGCTGAATTATATGACAGCTATGTTTAACTTGCTGAGAAACTGCCAAACTGTTTTCCATAGCAGCTATGCTATTTTACATTCCAACCAGGGTTCCAATTACTCCACATCTTTGCCCACCCTTATTATTTTTCTCTTTTTAAAAAATGTAATAGGCATCCTAATGGGTTTGAAGTGGTATCTCATTGTTTTTGATTTAAATTTCCCTTATGATGAATGATGTTGAGCATCTTTTCATGTGCTTATTGGCCATTTGGATATCTTCTTTGGAGAAATGTCTATTCAGATTCTTTGCCTATTTTTTAATTGGGTTCTTTGTCTTATTATTGTTGAGTTCTATGAGTTTTTTATATATTCTTGATACTAGGCTATTACCAGAGATATGATTTCCAAATATTCTGTTCTGTGGGTTGTCTTTTCACTTTCTTGATAGTGTCTTGAAGCACAAAAGTGTTTAATTTTGATAAAGTCCAGTTTATCTTTATTTGGTTGCTTATGATTTTAATGTCACATCTGTGAAACTGTTGCCTAATAAAAGGTCACGAAGATTTACATCATTTTCTTTTAAGAGTTTTATAGTTGTAGCTTTTACATTTAAATCTTTGATCCATTTTTTAGTTTTTATATATGGTATGAGGTAGGTTTCCAACTCAGATCTTTTGGATGTGGAGGTCCAGTTGTCCCAGCACTATCTGTTGAAGATACTATTCCTTCCCCCATTGAATTGTCTGGGTACCCACGTTGATCACCTGCCCATAAAAACTCAGTTGTATCAGTTTTATTTCTATACTCTTAATTCTATTCCATTAACCTTTATGTTTATCCTTATGCTTGTGTATACCCTTTAAATCCTCTGACTTTTGAATCAGGTGATTGTATTAATTCAAAAATAACAAAAATTTAAAATAATTGTTAGCTATGACCACAATTTACTTTGACTTCTCTCTAATTTGCTCTTTCAGGAAAGTGTGCTGTGTTGTCATTCAAGGACTACCTCTCCTGCAGGCCAACTGAAATACCAGAAAATGATGTCCTGCTTTGTGAGAGCCGCTACAACGAGAGTGACAAGCAAATGAAGAAATTCAAGGGACTGAAGAGGTTTTCACTCTCTGCTAAAGTGGTAGATGATGAAATTTATTACTTCAGGTAAAGCTTGAAAAACTAATGAAGAACGATAGCTCCTAATAGGAAAACTAATACCAAAATAGTATAATGCACAGTTGTTTTTTGTTTTTTAATTAGGCTTTTAAAGCAGTGCATTTTAAATAGAAAATTTAATTAATTTAGTTAAAGATTAAAAGAGATCCTCATAATCTGCTGAGATGTAGTAGCTGCTCTAATGGTGCTGTTGGCATAGACTCCAGTAATTGCAATGTGGAGGCAAAAATCTTTGGTCCTGGTTCATAGTCTGTTAAGAGGTGCACAGTTCCACAGAATACGGAAATTCTTTTCACTGTATAGGCAACTAGATCCCAACTTTAGACTGAGTAGTTTTGTGGGTATTCAGCAGAATCCTTTAAAAACAAACATCTGTAAATAGGTGTGACTTTATAAATACACATTTAAGTTCTTTTCCTTGCTTACTTAGAGTGTACATTGCAGATTCCAGGCAGTCATTTCTACATATTAAGGCAGAACACTGCTTTCTGACCAGTCCTGGAGTGGTGTTAGGTGACTTTGTTTTCTTTTTTTATGTCACTTCTTTTAGAAAACCAATTGTTCCTCAGAAGGAGCCCTCACCTTTGTTGGAAAAGAAGATCCAGTTACTAGAAGCTAAATTTGCTGAGCTAGAAGGTGGAGATGAAGATATCGAAGAGATGGGAGAAGAGGATAGTGAGGTCATTGAGCCTCCTTCTCTACCTCAACTTCAGACTCCCTTGGCCAGTGAGCTGGATCTCATGCCCTACACACCCCCACAGGTGAAGGTGACAAGTTCCTGTTACTTGTCTTATTCCTGACTTTGGTTTGCAGCAGTCTCAGACCAAAGTAAGGAGATATCCAGCCCCTACATATGTGAGTTTCAACCTAGAATTCTGCAGGAAGGAACAAATTTTTTTCTTGATGCCATTATTTATTTAAACTTTAATCTATTTTTTAAAATTTCATCAATTGCTGTTTTTAATGGCAAGTTTAGTTAGAAAGCTCTCCTTGCCTTATATTGAAGAAAAGCAATGAGGAACAGCATTGTCCTGTTACTCTATCTTTTTTATTTCCCCTATCTTTTTAGTCTCTTCTTTAGAATCTCACTTTTTGGTTGAGGTGATCCCTGTTGGTATTTTTTTCCTCATTCAGAATTTTCTCAAGATTTAATTGTGACGTCACCATTCAGATTGCAATCGTGGAATTCATGGAAACTTCCATTTATTTTTTTATATGATAAGAAGCAAGGATGAGCTGTATTTTAACCAAGAAAATGACCATCTATAAACTGAACATGTCATAAAACAGTAACCATTGAATCACATGTTCCTGGCTCCCAGAAACTTTGAGCAGTTAACCAAATACAATGTTCTGATGCACTCTTAAGAGCTTTCTGTCTTACAGTCTACCCCAAAGTCTGCCAAAGGCAGTGCAAAGAAGGAAGGCTCCAAACGGAAAATCAACATGAGTGGCTACATCCTCTTCAGCAGTGAGATGAGAGCTGTGATTAAGGCCCAGCACCCAGACTACTCTTTTGGGGAGCTCAGCCGACTGGTGGGGACAGAATGGAGAAACCTTGAGACAGCCAAGAAAGCAGAATATGAAGGTAAATAGACTAGACACAACCATCTTAGCTTTCTAAGCAAGGAGGTGTTTTTAGGAATGCACATACGTAGACGAGTTTTACTCTCTTATTCTTACCACTTGCACATGAACTTTTATTGGAAACTGTCTCAAATGGCTTCCATCCAGAAGTTTAAATACCAGCCTTATCCTGGCTAAGCAAGCGCTGCCCCTGTCTTGGCCTCTGATCCTGGTGTGGGTTTTTCCCCCCCCAAAAAATCTCTCAAACAAGTATTTTGCTATTAAAAATTGCATGATTTTCTTCTTTCATTGAGTCCTATAAGCATACATGTGTTGAGCTGGGGAATGATTATACTAGGATGTTAAATATAATTTTGGTTAAAATTCTTCTAAAAGTGGGATTTGAAAATCAGTTGTCTTCTATTATGGCTCTTGATAAGCCATATGTTTAACCTTCAGGCTGAAGCTTAGCTGAAGCACTTGGTTTCCTAGGCCAATCCTGGCCTTCGCTGTGTCTGCATTTACAGCTACTTAAGGCACTTGGGGTCTCTTTTATAAAGCTCAACTGCCTTCATTTTCCTTTTACTCTATAATTAAGTCATTTTGGGCCATGAGCTATATCATTCAAGAATTTGGTGGTTCTTAGCCAGTAGGGACAAATACTGGAGAGAGATTTTTGTTTGTTTGTTGGTTTGTTTTTTACTATTAGTCATGGCTTTACTAAATAAATAAGTAGTAAATATTAAATTAGGCAGGACTACTGCCCTTGGAGCTAGGGTTTTTGTTATTTTTTTCCCATTTGGAATTTTATGTAATGGTTTATTTTGTTAGTTTAGAGCCATCTTTCAGTGATTGACCACAGTAGCCAACCATTATTCTTCTTGGCTGATTCCAAATTCATTATTCCCCATCAAACATAAATTAATTGTTAAAGTTGCTCCCTTTATGTTTATAGAGTTTTTTTTTAAATCTTTAAAAAAATTCACACTTTGCGATTATTATAATTAATTGATTACAGTTATCTGATGGGCTTCCCCAAGGATTTGCTGCAGAACCCTAATCCTACAAGATGCTCAACCAAAAAGCACTTGTGGGAAAACTAGTTGGAGAAGCACTCCAAACATTTTTTATCTTGGAAACTTATAGTGCATATTCTTATATTAGATTCTTTAAGACCTACAGTAAAGAACCAGTTTTTTTTTCACTTGGCATTTTCTAAAACTTGACCAAGTGTTCATGTAATACCTGTTAATATCCTAAAAAACTAGTATTTTGCAGAACATACTTTGAGAAATCCTAGTCAGTTTCATAAGAGCCTAGAACTTTAGGGAGCTTTGGTATTTCTAACCTTAGTGAATGTTAAAACCAAATATATCACTCAGTTGGAGGAGTGTTGGAAATGAACTCATATGGGTGGGAATAAAGCCTGGTCCAGGGTAAATTAAGCTAATACTATATGACTGGTTATTTAAAGTGTGAACAGGAAAGAGGAAAGTGCCTGGAGATAATGTAAAAGTGAAAATGCTGGAGCAGGGCTGAAGAGAGGGAGAAATGATGGCTTCTAGAAAATTCTCCAAAATTTGAAGGGGAGGCTGAAATTCAGTGAGAACCAAGTGATAGAGAGTTATATGATTCAGTAGTGTATGAGACACAAAATCTGAACTTTTGTTTTGACCCATTGAATTCAAAACCCAAAGTTTGGAGTTGGCTGGTTTCATTTAATGATTTTCTTTCCCAAGATAGCCCAAGTGAACTCCCCCAAGAAAGAGCTAATAGTAGCCAGTCAGTAGTCGATCCACAGGCCTGAATTTTTCTATTTTCAACTCCCTTTTTTTTTCCCCTCTCCCATTTTACTGTGTCACTTGTGTAATGAAAATACTAGAATTTAATGTGGGGGTTCTGCTAGCTCAAGGAAATAAATAGGTTGTTTAAATGGCTTCTGTCCCTCACGTTTATTGTACAGAGGATCTGTAAACTAGGACAGTGTTAGTGAGTGATGACAAGTCTATGCAGGCAACTGTGTCACAGCCAAAGAAGATTTGACTTGTTTGACTTGAACATTCTTATATAAAGAAGGACTGGAGCTGTTGCTTCTTGATTCTCTTTAAAGCCATGTGACCTCGAGCAATTTTCTCCCTCCTTAGATCAGCCAATGGTAGGCCTTTTGAATTCTATGTTGGAGGGTCAATGTGTGGCAGTTGGAGTGTGATACCAGGAGTCAGGGTTACAGGTTGCTGGTTCTCTCTGTATCCTTGGACAAGTCACTACCTGTCTCCCAGCCTCAGTTTGCCCAGATGAAGAGTGGGAAGGACTTCCTATTTATGAATGGTGAAGCAAAATAAACCCTGTATTGTGGGAGCTTTGGGAATACACATGTCTAGAGTTCTTCAGCAAGAGTCCAGCCTGCCCGCTCCCAAAAAGCCTGGGGTTGTGATCATTGGGGCTACTGGCTATGGAGATGCAGGCAGAGTAGCTCAGGGGAATGAAGGGTATAGCAAGGTGTGTTCCAGAGCCCAGAACTGGCACAAGCAAATACTTCTCTTGCGTTTCAGATGAAATATTAGTGAATTCTGGAACTTTCACTGATTTAGGGTGATTTACGGTCAGTATTGAACTGCTCAGCTTCAGGAAACCTGGTTCTGTCAGTACATTGTCCATTGCTTCATATGTGTATATATAATTCCCTTCTTTCAATGACTTTAGCCTGGAGTACCATGCATTTTTTCCCCTGGGGTTTATTAAACATGATCTCTTTGCTTCATTAGAATGTAGAAGTTAGCATTTAATGTCCCTAAAACCTTATAGGGGAGACAGTGAGCTGCTTTTCCCTTACAGAGTTAATTTTCTTCAGCTGCTAAACCCCATGACACTAATAACAAGAGTCCTCATATCTTAGTTAAATTGGGTGCAAGGAATCAGGAAAATATAGTAAGTAACAATTGTGCCAAAAATTATAATGGGCCATGGAATTGCTTCATGTTGAAATTATAAATAATTTGCAATGCTTTTAATATAGAATAATGGTAGCGCTTCTCATCTTCAGGGTGCCTTGTGAGATTAACCACATTGGTTACGCTGGTGACGTGTTTAAATAAAACCTGTGCTTTCTGAATGTGTGTTGCAGTCTTAACATTCTTGAAATCTTTGCAGACCAGTTCTCAAGATGGGATAGGAAAGCTGGACTCTAGTTTACCAAGTGAAATCGGCCCGACTCCTCCTGTGTTGAGACTAGTCATCTACTGTTCCTTCCATTGAGACAGAACTGTTGCCTGTGTTTTTACTAGTCCTGTTGAATGCAATGGATGGTATTTTGAATTCCTGGGTTAAAAACAGAATTGAAAATCTGAAATGCCTTTACAGAGCGGGCAGCTAAAGTTGCTGAGCAGCAGGAGAGAGAGCGAGCAGCACAGCAACAGCAGCCGAGTGCTTCTCCCCGAGCAGGCACCCCTGTGGGGGCTCTCATGGGGGTGGTGCCACCACCAACACCAATGGGGATGCTCAATCAGCAGTTGACACCTGTTGCAGGTAAAAACAGGAGCTAAGACCATTTTTTTCCACTTTAAGAAATTCCTTCATTTTTTTTTTTCTCCAATGAGGAGTAGGCCACAGTCTCTAGGCTTTTCTATGACAGATTCAAAGTTTGAATTCATCCATGTTGTCCTTACATTGCCTTTCCCATACGGGCAATGCGTCCCCCCTGCTCCAGAAATGGGCATTGGGCCCTATTCTGGAAATTAATAGGGAGCAGCTCTTCCCCAGCTGTGGGCATGGTCTGGTGCTGTTCTCCACCCCAGACTGCTCCTGATAGAGCGTTATAGCAGAAAATATAAATAGACCCTGAATTCTCTTCTGGAGAGACTTCTAAGAGAAAACACAAAACCTAGTTTTAGGTGATGTTGATTTTCCTGTCTCATTCCAGTATTCAGTTTGCCTTGTTCTGCTGCAGCCATCCTTAAAAGACTGACCATTTAAAAGGATTTTTGACAATGAATGACAAATCCTTTCTTGGTCACCAGTGTGCATGACTGCTAAGTTGAATACAAGTCCCTGTTCAATTCATTGTGCCCACTCTGTAATGCTTTTCTATTTAATTACATTAAACTGCATTTTCTGTTAGTATCCCAGTCACATATTTAAAAAATAAAAAGAAAGAAAATGATGAATGTGGTTTGCTTGTGTATGTTGTCTCTGGTTCTGGTAGCCATACCAAATTTGGTTCTTCTTGAATTGGATATCATTGTCTGACGTGTCTCCAATGTGAAGCCTGCAGACCACTTCTCGGGTCCCTCTTTTGTTATTTCTCTAAGCCTGGTGAGGCCTGTACAAGCCCCCTTTCTTCTTAAGCAAAAGCAGTCTGACCTTTTTGCAGGGAGTCTAAGACTGTGTTGTTCAAGGGAGGCTGATTGGGATGCTGTTTTTGTTTTTGCTTTTTTTGTATTTGCTTTTTAAGGAAGAGTAGCATAGAATAACTTTTCAATTGTCGCTCCTACCTTTCATGATGGCAGGTTTTCAAATGCACTCACTGTCGCTGAACTTAGCAGTTGCACTCGCCAAAGCACATCTGAATCATGGCTTTTCAGTACTTTCAGTGTAACTGATGTTGATCTAACAAATCTCATAATTGCCTGCTCTATTCCATGGCCCATTTTGGTTAATAGGGTTCCAAAGGTTTTTAGAAATCAGGCCTTGAACATGGGGACTTTGAAAGTTAGAATTCCCTTGTTGACATCCTGCTTTGTTCTATTTGATGTGTGATATTGTAGCACTGTGCCCTTGACTAAAAAGCCCAGGGACACATTAACAAAATGAATTCAAACAGCTAAAAACATAAAAAAAAATAAAAAAACAACAACAAAACAACAAACAGCAGCTGCAGCATTTTAGCTCCCTGTTGGGGAATAACATCGTAGAGCTCTGATGGGTGAGAAGGACGGGACTCCCTTTTAGAAAGCCCCTGTTCCATTATTGTGTGCTGCCCAGACTTCTGGGCCATGGGAGTGAAGGGCAAGCATTCTCTATAGTAAGCAGTCTACAGTGGGGACTTGGTAGCTAACAGGGTGAGTTTTTCATGGGTTTACAGGTTGCATAGGGTCTAAGTCTTAGCCTTGTTCCTAGTCTGAGACCAGCTTTGCTTACAAGCATCGAAGCTCATTTGAACACATGTGACTGGGATAATAAATGACAAAGTACAGTTTAATGAAGACAAGCGTGTCATGTCTTTCAGTTCTTAATAATTTCTTAAACCACAGCCCGTGAAGGGTGCGTTCAGATGGGCTTTTGTAATTGAAAGCAAAGTCTCCTAACATTGTTAAACTCCCACATACTTATCCAAAAGCTGTATCTGGTGGCGTGGTTAAAAGGCAGTTTGGCAACATTGGATCTCCTCATGTTTAAGGTGATGGTGTCTGTTCAAAAGTAGTTTTTACTTTCTGAACTCTCATTTTTCTTAAATGAAACTCATAGTCCTATTTCATGTATAGAGGTTTTACTCTTTAAAATTAGTCTTATTGGTTTGTGTAATTGGAAGTTTTTCAGTCAGCTTAGATGTGACTAATGAAGCAGGCTAAATCAATCTCAGAATTACCAGTAATTTTATAGCTTTAAGAGACTAAACTCTTATAAATAAATACCTTTCAAATGAATCTTTACAGAGAGGCAAAGAGTAAAATTCTTAGAATCTGGAGATTTTCACTATTTCCCTGAGTCCCTCTACAAAGAGTATTTTATAAAAATGAGGTTTGGCACCAGTCCCTCAACCCTCCCTTTGTGCAAGAAGTAGTGACCAAAGGTGATTGCATTTTGGGGGGAGAGCTTATGTTGTGTTCATTGTGATCATTTCAAATCCTAGAAAAGTCAAGTAGTTTTTCTTTAAAAAATGTCGTGTGGCTTCAAAGGTCTTTCGATAGGTGAGTCTTTGACATTTTAAAATTATTTTCTTCTTTTCACTTCTTTTGACAAAAATACTTGTTTCTTCAAACTCTTCCCTAGCAAGCAGAAAATATTTTGTCATGTGAAGATGCACTTTAAAAACAAAGTATTAAAAGCCTCTGTTCACAGAAATTCTGTACCTCATTTTAAGTGCTCCCTGGTAAATGAAGGTTTATGTGAGGACATTTGTGAGCGTGGAGACAGTGGTGACAATTGGCTTTTTCTCATGTTACCAGAGCCTGATTCTCCAGCCGTTCCTCCCTAAGGTCTGTGTGCAGGCTACGAGTGACCTGGGCTTAGATTTGCTTGGGAGGGTTTAGGTTTTATTCTTTATTTTAACTTGTTTTCAGATCTAAAGATGAAATACCATACATTGGATGCCTCTTAGTGGTTCACCAACTAAAGCTCGAGTATGATCCATTCTTATCAGCAGTGGTGGGGGGTTTGAAGGGAGGAGGAGTGGATGTAAAAATCTTCAAAAATTCTTGCTATCCTCTCCTAAGCTGGAGAACCATGCTTTGTGATCAGGGCTGTGCGCCTCATCTCCCTCCATTCCAATTTCCCCTCATGTGTACGCATGATAGGCATATGAGTGTGGGCAGAGTGCAATGATGGGGTTATTACTGTTCAATTAGAATCGCAGTCGCAGAACTGGTCACTCTGAACAGCTTGCAATAATTATGACCTTGGGAAGGCTGTTACTGGAACTATTTATTTTTAACTGAAAACATGCAGTATATTTATCCCAGGAAAAATAACTACAAATAATAATACACTAAGTACTAATTCATCCAGAAATGTTGGGTTTCATATTTGTAACTTTTTATTTTGTTCATTACTGCAACAAAATAATTGCACTAATTGCCGTTATATCATGCAATACTAAGGGCGCTTTATTCATTGGTAGTGCATGTGGGAGGTTTGTTATTACTTAGCTCATGTTGCATGTTAATGATGCATGTCTGAAATTTGTTGTGTCCTTCAAGGCATGATGGGTGGCTATCCGCCAGGCCTTCCACCTTTGCAGGGCCCAGTTGATGGCCTTGTTAGCATGGGCAGCATGCAGCCACTTCACCCTGGGGGGCCTCCACCCCACCATCTTCCGCCAGGTGTGCCCGGCCTCCCGGGCATCCCACCACCGGGTAAGAACTTCATCCTCATTCACTCATTAATCTCATCTTTGTGTCCTCTTTTCTCTCCCTCAGCCAGTTGTTCTAGGAGGCACTTGCTGCCCATTGTAGGCAGGTCTTCCCTCACTGAGAATCCCAGGGATGTCAGCAGCAGGGCCTGTCCTTTGTGTAGAGCAGGTGGCTCAGCATCTCTGCCCTTGGGCAACTGGCTGCCTAGCAGCAACACAGGACACATGGCAGAGACCAGATTTACAGACCAAGAGACAGGAGGCATATTCTTAAAATCACAATTTGACATGTGCTAAAAAAAAAAGTCAGACACAGCCTACAAAGTCAAGCTTTCTTCATCAGTGAATAAAGGTTCCCAAATTGCTAGTCAACAGTCATATATAAAAGCACTTTTTGCTCCTGCATACATTTCCTCCTGTAATTCAGTTCTTATCTCACAGGGTCATCTACCTATCTCCTGTTTCTCAAACAGCACTTCCAAGGGAATTGCAGAGTCACAATGTAGAACTCTTCAGAAATCCTTCAGTCAGTCCTTCTAGGAACAAAAAGGAGGGAGAAAACAAATTTGTACTGAACTTGTTTTCTCTGAGTCCCCTAAGAAGCATGACATTTTAAAGAACAACATAACCCACCCTACTAACTGTAGACACTTCTGTCTGTAAAGAAGCACAAAAGTTATTTCATTATAGAAACATATAAATGGAGTCCAGAAATAGCTGCAGTGTGACTTTATAATTAACAAGTTGAAAGATTCTTATGAAAGGAAAATCACAAGTTCCATATTAATTACCATTGTATTAAAAAAAAAAACTGACCCTTAGCTATAATCTAGTTGGAGAGAACGTGACCTTAAGATGACTTGGAATTACATTTCGTCCATTATCCAAAATATCAGCTAAAGACCCAGCCCAGATGATAAAAATATAACAACATTAAATTTCCTTACACCAGTATTGGACCTAGCGATCATAGGGTTATACACAGAGTTCCAAACGGTGCTTCAGAGTGTGCAGGGTGAGCAAACATGGTATCTTGGCCTAGAGCCTCCAGCCGCACTCTTTGTGAGTATTACTAGAGAATGGTCATAACTCCACAAAAGTGTTTCATCCAGATGTATCCAGAGGAGGGAATGTTTGTGGGAATGTATGCTTCATTATGGAAATGGTGGCTTTGTGTGAGTTACTGTTGCAGCAGAAATCAGTCATAAAATGGGTGTGCCCATGTGGCAAATAGAATTGGCCTTAATTCTATACCTTCTCCCTTTGGCATAGGGTGTCCGACTGAGTCAGCCAGACCAGGTGGGAGCTGACTTACAGGTGCATGTAGGGACTCAGTGGGAGTCACATCTAAGGCCAGTATTCACTAGGTAGCAGGTATCTTTGCGGCACCACTATTTACCTTCCCCCTTCAGATTTTAATTTCCTTTGAAGGAAACAACACACCTGATTATAGTCAGGGAAATAGGGAAGAACCCCTCTTTATGCCTACACACATACATTTCTGGTTAGGCTTTGAGGAGGGAAGAATTCAGTGAACTCCTCAGGTGACTGGGCCTCGTTCTCACCTGCTGCCCCATAGCGTGGCATTTGAAAATAGAGGAAACAGAGAGCTTTATCGATTTGTTTGTGCTGCTCTGCACAGATTAATACAGGCAGGTCAGGGAGGCCCACTGTCTTGTGGAATCTAAAGCTGGTGACTGAGTGAGTGGGAGGCAGGGGACGGGATTAATAATATGTTGCTGAAACAGCAGCTTACCTACCACAACCTCTTCATTCACAAATAATCTTTAGGATCTTATCATGGTGACCCAGGTACCCTTCTGGGTACTTGTAATATAAAAATCCCTGCTTTGTAAACAGAAGGCTTATTTTTACTTACTATTTTCTAACAAATGTCTAATACTTCCTGGAAGTAGCATTTAGTAATTTTGAACCTTAGAATAGTGGGCTGGTCCTGCTTGGCAAAATATGAACATTTTAAATTCAGAGGAACTATAGAATATGAAGTTAGTTCCTCTTGATCCTTTTATGCAGCCAGCAGGATTTGTTTAAGGTTTAAACAACTCACTAGGAAGGATTGTAGTTTGTTTGTTTTTAATGAACGGGGTTTCTTCCCTCTTCCTTTGTTTTGAGAATAGTAAATGGATGGTCCAGAGGTGATTAAAATAACCGTAGACATTAAATTTAGGACATCGCCTTATTCTCAGCTAGCACCAGTGGGACAGAAATTGTTTATGAGGAGTCACCAAGGGAAGTTTACAAAATTATTATCAGGTACATAAATATAGTAGGACCATGAAATCTTTTTCTTTCTCATTTTGCATTTGAAGTGATAGCAGTGAGGCTGCTCTGCTTCCAGATGTTCCCTTTTCAAAGTGCTGCTCTATCAAATGGAAGGGTCCTCTTCTCAGTCAACATTAGTGACTCCAGTCAGAACCAGAGGTGCTGGTGGCCTGTGAGGGGACAGCAAGGATGTGCCTCCAGCCTCCACAAAGCTTATTTAACTGTGCACTTGTACAGCGTCTTCCCTGTGTCCTTAACTGTCCTAGCACACTGCATACTACTGAGCCTGATTGAATGCCATTACTGCTGAAGTAAACACAGGCTTCAGTTACAGGAAAATGTGTTGTTAGAAGAAAAATACTGTGAAAATGTAGGTGTATTCTGACTATTGCTTACCTAGGGAAATACTAGAATTTTTCCAGGGTTCAAAGCATTTCTAAGCCCTGAATAATTAATACACATCTGACAAGATGTACTAACTAGTATTGTGAATTACCTAAAAAACAAAAGAATAGGAATTTTCTGTTTGACTGCTACATCCTGTTTTGGGTGTGTAGGGTTCCTATCCACAAAGATTCAAAGGCAGAGATCCTTAAGCTTGCATTATAAATGGCATCATTTCTTATCAGACCGTAGTTTTTCAGTCATGTCAACCAGAACCTCTAATTGAGACATTGCATTCTAAATTACAGGTGTGATGAATCAAGGGGTGGCCCCTATGGTAGGGACTCCAGCACCAGGTGGAAGTCCATATGGACAGCAGGTGAGTCTCCCAGTTGGATTTTCTAGGACTGGACATTTATCCTCTTTCTCAAAACATGTGCCGAGCATTTTTTCCCCTCACTATGTGGTCTTTGCGCTTTCAGGTAGGAGTTCTGGGGCCTCCAGGGCAGCAGGCACCACCTCCATATCCTGGCCCACATCCAGCCAGCCCCTCTGTCATGCAGCAGCCAACAACACCCATGTTTGTGGCTCCTCCACCCAAGACCCAACGGCTTCTCCACTCGGAGGCCTACCTGAAATACATTGAAGGACTCAGTGCTGAGTCCAACAGCATTAGCAAATGGGACCAGACTCTGGCAGGTAAGGAGAGTCCTTCTCAATAAGCCTTTACGAAACCCATGCTTTGTTGAGGTCCTTGTGCTGCTATTGGCACATTATAGCATAGGGCAAATACCCATTTTTCTTATACAAGTAAAATAAATGGTATATTTCATAAAAGGATTTGGAGCTTCTTTGAATATTAACATCGCACTTTGAAAATGTATTTTTGCTGCCCTGACCAGTTTAGCTCAGTTGGCTGGGCATCATCCCACAAAGCAAAAGGTCACTCATTCGATTTCTGGTCAGGCTATAGGCCTGGGTGGCTGGTTCAGTCCCAGGTCAAGGTGTGTATGAGAGGCAACTGATCAGTGTTTCTCTCACATTGATGTTTCCCTCCCTCTCCTTCTCCCTCCCTTCCCATCTCTAAATAAATAAATAAATAAATAAATAAATAAATAAGTCTTTAAAAAAAATTTTTTTTTTTTGCTGAATTTCAAAGCTTAGTTTTGACATCATAAACATCACTGTCATCTTTTTAAGTATATTCTGAATTTTTTTCAATTATTTTTTAGACCCATGGGTATTAGGATAGATGTATTTGAATAAGTTCAAAATTATTTCGCCTCAATTTGTATTAACAATGTTAGAAAATGTTTCTATTAACCTATCAAGTTACTCATTTAGTTCAACAGACAATGTATTTTCAGTACAAACAACCTAAAATAGCCCGGGCTGGTGTGGCGTAGTGGACAGAGCGTGGGCTTGCGAACCAAACAACCTAAAATAACTTGCTAGTCTCTGGAAGGAAATTTGAAAGTTTCTACTGATTCTCTATTTCTAAACCTAATTTGATAATTTGATTTCTTTTAAGAGTAGTAGATATGTTTTTTCCTTCTTCACCTTTACCTTTTTAGGTATTTTTGTTAACATGGAAATAATATTTAAATATCAGGAATGCCTAAAACAAAATATTAATGGCCTAATCCTTTAGGTGTTTATGTAGCTCTTATGTTCCCTTTCTAGTAGAGAATTACATTATATGCAGCTCTTTTGTGAAGTCATTATTATAAATTAGGTAATTCTGAAAATAGAAAGCATAAAACAAGACACCCTTGGCTAGGTAATCTCATACCTAAGTGAAGTAGTTTTCTAAAAACCAAAATGTCTAATAAAACAATATAAGAAATTTGCTTGGAAATATTCTACAGAGTTAACATTTATAATGTTTAATAAATAATGTTTTTATGTTCTAATCTATCAGACCTTAGGACTGAGGGAAAATTTGTTAAATTTATATTTCTCTGTCTGCACTTTAATATTCAGCTCGAAGACGTGATGTCCATTTGTCAAAAGAACAAGAGAGCCGCCTACCCTCTCACTGGCTGAAAAGTAAAGGGGCTCACACCACCATGGCAGATGCCCTCTGGCGCCTTCGGGATTTGATGCTCCGAGACACACTCAACATTCGCCAAGCATACAATCTAGAAAACCTTTAATCACATCTATTACATTTCTTTTATAGAAGCATAAAGAGTTTTGTGGAATAGTAGCCATTTTAGTTACTAGGGGTCGGGGGAGGAACAAAGGATAATTTTTACTGCATTTTACTGTACATCACAAGGCCATTTTTATATAAGGACACTTTTAATAAGCTATTTCAATTTGTTTTTGTTATATTAAGTTGACTTTATCAAATACACAAAGATTTTTTGCATATGTTTCCTTTGTTTAAAACCAGTTTCATAATTGGTTGTATATGTACACTTGCAGTTTTATCTTTTTACTTGTTGCTGTGGAACTGAAAACATCAAAGGTTTTGTCTTGGATTGGGGTTTTATGGTTTTTGTTTTTTGTTTTTATAAAAGAACAAACGGTGATAAAAATACACACACACACACACACACACACGAGTTTACAGATTAGTTTAAGTTGACAATGAAATGTGAAGTTGGTCCTAGTTTACATCTTAGAGAGGGGAGTATATTTGTGTCTGTTTCATGTGCCTGAATATCTTAAGCCATTTGGCAAAAAGTGAAGTGAAAGGTTGTTATTTAGGTTATTCGTGTCTGGCAGTCACGCACGTTTGCTCTGTTAACTCAGAGGCCCTCTGCAGAAATCTGAAGTCAGTGTGTGCATCCTTCTGCGGCTGGTGCATCTCCCGGACCCTTGGAGGGAGAGAGCACTTTTTCTTATGCTGAGTTAGATTATCTATGGTGTCAGTTATTTTTATAAAATATGTGCACAACCCTGAATTATATTTAGTCTTGGCAGGTAAGTTTTAAGGGTACTTTTGATCTATTTATAATAAATTTACAATTTATGCCTATACATGTTTAGATGATTTACAGTTTTAAATCTCTGAATTGAAAAACATTGAAGTTTATCTTGAAGAAAGCATTGAGGTGTCTGTGGAGGTGATTTATTTTTAAACATAACACATTACTAACATAGAGGAGGGAGTGCATAACCAGATAGGAGCTGGATCAAATGCATAATTGTAAAAGGGTAGATTGCCTGCATATGCAAATGTTTTAGTATTCTTTGTTTCCTCATCAGATGTGGCTTTTTTTTTCTTTCAAGTTTCATCATTGTAATTTTCACCAGAAATTTAAGACTTTCTAAAATATTTAAAATTTAGCTTATGGTTTTGAGTTTCAAGAGAAAGGAATCATAATCTAAGAAAATGCTTATGAAAAAGACCGATTACAGACCCCAAACACTTGGGTTTGATGACCCAGTCTTTCTTATATGACCCTAGAATAAACATTTGGAGGCAGTGTATGGTGCTCAGACAGATAAAAATACTGTTCCATCAAACAGTAGTTATACTGTTTTTTTTCTAGGCATTTTGGAAACCTACTTTTATTGTAACAAAGTAGTTACCATTGTGGACCTTCCACTACTGTCTGTAAGTTGAAAGAGTGACTCTCAAAGAATACCCTTTTTGTTTTAGTCTGGTATGAATCAATACCTGAATATTTAATTGCCATTCTTACTAAATCATGGGGGGAGAAATGTAGAATGGAAAAAAGTCTCTTATATCTAGATAGAAGGCCCTTATAACTTAAAATTACCTATAGTCAACCACTGGATCTCAGTTTGCATCAAGTATTTTAAATAATTCTGAATTTTAAAAAATGTATTGCAGTAGTCAGTACCTTATTGTTAAACTGAATCAGATAAAGAAATCTTCAGTTCCTGGTTATTTGGGCCATTGAATCATCATGAACTGTATAATACAATCAGATTATTTTATTTCTAGACATCCTTGAATTACACCAAAGAACCTGAAATTTAAGTTTGGTTAAGTTATTTATTTATTTCATGCACCCATGTTATTTCCCTTTTTAAGGTCTGGATGAGACTTCTTGGGAAGCCTCTAAAAACTTCACTGTGGGCTACGTGGGGCATTAGAAGCCAGAGCACTCCCCCTCCGGGCTCCTTCCCAGTGTCTAGAGGTGCTGTAGAAACCATAGATCCAGCCAGGGGCTTCCCTAAGGCAGTGCAGAGCTGGGCCAGAGGGCCGCTAGGCAGGCCCTAATTAAGTTTTTCTTTTAAAATATAAAACTATTTATTTTAGAATCATGCCTTTCTGTATATTAACTTGGAGAATATCAATTAGTATTTAGGATATAAGATTTGAGGTCAGCCATCTTCCAAAAAAGAAAAGAAAGAAAAAAAAAGTCCTGATTTAAGAAAGTACAAGTTAACTATGCTTTTTTTCATGAGTTTAGGAATTGTAGTGAAATGGCTTAGAAAGCATAATGGCCTAAATATTTTCAAAATGTAAGTTCATGTGGAAAAGAATTGTTTATGTTGGAGGGAAAAACCTATAGGTTTAAAATAGTATGTCAGACAGCTGATACAAAAGGCCTTGAATTGTTTTGTTTTTGAAACCACCCTTCTTTTCCTATGAGGAAGTATTGAGAGGGGACAATTCTTTGTGTAAAATCTCCAAATTCGTGGTGTTGATTTTGGAGCTTGAACATTTTCAGACCTGATTAAAACTTGGTTTATTCTAATTTCTGTATCAAAAGAGTTTTAAGTGGTAACTAGTCTTATAACATGTATGTATCATATGTTTGTTCATCTAAAGCTTTTTAATCCAAATAAAAATGGAGTTTGCAAAGTGATTTGGATTAACCAGGTTTGGTTGTTCTGTTAAAGCTTGTGTCAGATGTTACTTTCAAGCAGATTTAATTCCTACAAGCTTTGATTATATGGTGGCAGGGATACGGCTGCTAATTTAGGGGAAGAGAGCTCCTCCAGTGGAGGAAAAGTCATACCAGACAACTGCTTCAGGGCTCAGGCTGCATTAACACAGAAACTGAATGTAGTCACACTGCAACCTGACATGCTCCATGCCAAACCTCTCAGGCTGACAGTCAGGAAATTCCTAACATGTCCTCAGCATGAGCAGAAATGCAGGTTTAAGTTAAAACTAAAGAGTTACTGATGGCAGAAGGTGAGGACAGCCATGTCCTGGTCATAAAAGAGTGTAACCAGTTTCAAATAGCTGTCTGTGGCCAGAAGAGGCAAGTGGCCCAGATATGTCTTCAACGTGCTTATAAGCTCTTAAAACATGACCACACTTTTAATAAAAAGTGTTGGTAAAATCAACCAACTGTTTTCCTCTAATATCACTTTGCAAATCCCGTAGTCCTGTTCTCCTAAGAGTTTAGGGCTGTACTGCCATCTAGGCTCATGAGTGTATTTTGAATGATCACTGATGTATAAACATTCCAGCTAAACACTATGAGCAAACAAATACATTCTGCTAAGTATAACTCTGTTCCTAGGTCTGTGCTAGGTCAGCTGAATGAAAGTTCAGAACCAAACAAATATACTGTTTCTATCCCCAAAATAGATGTATTCATTCATTGGATTGCACATAAAAATGGCAAGAAATTTCACAGGTGTGAAGATTAAAAATGGATAATGTTCTAAGAGGGAAATCACTTTGGAAAACACCATGTTCCAAGTTTTTATTTTTTTTAAGATAGGTTACTTAGTGTGAAAAAAAAATTTACAAAAAGATTAATGTGATTAAGTCCAACATCAGAGATTTAGACAAAGCTTCCAAAATATGACTGCTAGATGAACAAAGTTACTATGTGCCTAATTTAGGTACTTTTTCTACCAGTTCAGATTATAAAGTGAAGCTTCAAAGCCCACATTCTTTCTCCAACACTGCAGTGGAGGTAGATTTCTAGCAATTAATGGCTTCTAGGCTTTTGTCATTCTAGAATGAGTATTGAGGAGTTTTTAAATTTTGAGTTATTAAATTTTTGCCTTCTTGACACTGAAGACACTGCAGTTCTATAATCAGCCTGTAAGAGGAAGGACCTTTAAATTATTCAAGTTCCCAACTTAAATAGTTTCAGTGTCTGATAGGGCAGTGATATTCCTTAGGAGGGTTAACAAGTTTGTTTTGAGGCAAACTCAAAAAGCTTGCAACTTAGTTAACAAAGGTTAGTTAACAAAGGTTTAGCATCCAAACTAATGTGCTCTGAAAGTATCTTCAGCTTAATGCAATAATTGCTTTGCTAGTCTCCTTGACTTGAAGTCAGAAATTGCCCTGTCATATTCAAAGGTTTGTTTTCCTTCAATAAATAAGCATTCTAACATATATATTTAAAAAGAAGAAAACTCTAGGGAAGGTTAACACAAATTTCAGGCTAGTGATTCCAGGATGGAGTCAGAAAGGTGGGCCAGGGAAGAAACCCACAGCAGACAGAAGTTAGCTGGTGATTTTATTAGCATTTACAACTATTCTTTGTAAAGGGGTGTACGTTAAATATTCTCTATGGTATCATTACTACTTAAACTTCTAAAACTGGGGAAAGGGGAACATGGAATAAGGCCATATAATTGAGGGAATCATAGCACAACTTTAATATCTTGTGCAGCAGTCTAATTAGTAAAATGCCTGTGAGTTTCGGGGTTCCCCAGCAGTTCTTGAGTGATGGCAAGTGCACATGAAAACCACCTTCCTTTCACTGGTGCTGTTGGGCATCACTGGTCTTCACACTCAGTCCACCTCTGGGCAATGCTGTAGGTGGTGTTTTAATGAGATAGAGTAATCAGAGGCTCTTTTATTTTTACAAGACATAAAAATGAATGTAATTTATTTACATAAATGGACTAGCTTAGGAAAAAAAGGTCACTAAAAAAGTTAGGAAGAGATGTGTTTGTGACAGTTACCAGACAGGGGTGACCTTGAGTGGGTCTGCCTAAAGTCAGCCAGTAGTGTGTAGGTTCTTGACTTTGTGTAGGAAACATTTCACCAGTCCCAGTAACTACGAGGGCATGTTTATAGCTGGGGACAGTGAAGCAAGAGAGGGCTTAGCATAGAAACGACGGGAGAGCCTAGGCTGGGCTGCCTTAGCTCACCGGGAAGTCAGAGAAAAGGGGGCCTTGGAGATAGGATCAGGGCATTAGCCTAGGACGAGCTGCGGCTGCCCATGGCTCCCCTGGGTCTCATCCCGTGGGAACCCTTAGAATTTAGAAGATAATGTGCCTGTGGGGGAGAGAAAGAGGGATGGAATGGCATGGACAGAAGTTTTAAGGGAGGTCTTGGGGGGGTTTCAGCAGGATAGTTTTCCAGGTACGCTATTGCAGGGTTGTAGTCTCCACTGATTGGTCACTTCAGGGCTGGGTGTCATTACTCATTGCAGCTGGTCCTGGCATCCCCCACCTGCTTTGCTGCTCTTCTGGTCCTGGAACCTTCTTTCTGTATCTGCCTGTAAATTGCTTGGCCATTTGTTCAGCTGTTTCTTTGTTCCACTTGTCCTGGCTTGTTAGCCTGTCTCCAGATCATTTGCTGCTCAGTCATGAAAAATAGAAACTATTTTGAAACTAGGGTTCTTTAATATGTAGCTATTTTGTCTGAAGAGATGTAGGAATGTGGTTATCCAAGCATTGGAAGAGGCCTTGTGCATTTTCTGCCAGCTGACCCAAACTTATTCTGGGTCGCATTGGAAAACCTCCGCCAGTAGACTGAGCCTCTGATTTAGCTTGTCTATGGTTGCTTTCCACAGTTTCAGTTTCTTAGGGAAGGAGCAGCATCTTTATCTTTTTTTTTAGCAGGTGTTTGAAAGCGCTCTTTATTACAGAGGGGTGTGAAGGCTGTTGCCCCCCCCACCGCCCCCGACCCAGGTCTAACCTTTGTATGTCAATGGAACCAGGCAAGGAAAGGTTTTAACTGCTCATATAAGCATGTAACGTTGTCAGGCAGGAATTCCCACACCCTAGCAAAATGTGCACAAAGTGGCTGCTGGCAGAAATGTCATCTGTGTAATTATCCTGGTTATGATTTTGTCTGTATCAAACTTTACTTAGCTCTTACTTTTGAATCCATGATTAAATCTGAATTTTGCAAAAAAAGTAGGAAAAAAAAAAGACTTCACAATTTAGGCTGCAGTGAAAAGCATACTGATTGATCCTTGAATTGTTTAGGAAATAGTTCATGGACTAGATTCAATGGGCAGGAATGTTTTAGGAGGAAGTAATTTTCCCACATGTGCTGTCCCACAGTAACCTGAGACATGAGTATTCAAGCAGAGATAGGAAAACTGTAAAATTTCTTTAAGGAGTTCTGTAAAAGAAAAGATCTGACAAGTACATTTTTATTTGTATTTATTTTACAAATTGAGGTTTTATTCTTGAAAAACTGCTCAAACTTTGGTTAAGGGAGGGAGGGGTCTGTGGCCTTTTTGCCTGGGACTGCTTTCATTCAGCCCCAGTCCCCACCCAGCTCAGTAGCAAAAGTAGTGAGTGGCTTTACCAGTGTGGGCCCGTCTCAAAAAGACAGCAGCTTTACTGCCAGAGAGGAAGTGGCATCAATTTGGGGGACAGGAGTAAGTCTGTGACTTTACTAAAAGTGGCCAAGATGGAGGGAAATGAACTAGGAAAACCTGCAACTTTACTAATCTGATGTTGCAGTCCTAATTTGGACAAGCAGTGGATCAGTCAGATTTAACTGGGAGAACCTAAAAATGAGAGAACCATGGAAATGCAACCTAAGTCTCCCACATAGGTTGCTGCTGGAGAGCTACTAACATGTGTGGGAAAGAACCAAGCAATCAGGGCAGTGACTAATTGCAAATGGGCACAAAGGAACCTTCTGAGATCAAAGTAGTTTCCTAAAACTAGATTTGAGTTTGAACTGGAACATTTACAATGATTGAATTTTGTGGTACAGGAATTATACCTCAATATTGCTGTTTAAGAAGTATCTTTGCATACTAGGAAAAAAGACCTACCATTAATAGAATCAGAAAAACTATTCCTATGTATTTTATATTATCACAAAATACTCAATACTTACTGAAGATGATTTTTTTTTTAAGTATTTATTGATTTGAACGCTGGCTGGTGTGGCTCAGTGGATTAAGTGCCAGCCTGCAAACTGAAACGTCACCGGTTCGATTCCCAGTCACGGCACATGCCTGGATTGCAGACCAGGTCCCCAGTTGGGAGCGTGCAAGAGGCAACCACACATTGATGTTTCTCTCCCTTTCTTCCTCCCTTCCCCTCTCTCTAAAAGTAAATTAAAAAAATCTTTAAAATATATATATATCTTGATTGAGAAAGAAACATTGTTGTTCCAGTTATTTATGCATTCATTGGTTGATTCTTGTAGGTGCCCTGACCGGGGAGAGTACCCGCAACCTTGGCATATCAGGACAATGCTCTAACCAACTGAACTACCTGGCCAGGACCTGAAGATCATTATTAACCAAATATGTACTTTACTAGTTATTCTAGGTAGGATTCTGGCTAATACACAATTATATTCATTTTTCTTTTTGTAAGAACTGATTGTTGTATTCAACCATTAAAATGATACATCATTTTCTTTTACTGAAATAGACTGCCCATTCTTGAAACTTTCTATAAACGAAAATGAATTGCAGTAACTTACAAGTTGTCAAGTGTAACAGATGATCAAAAACAAATGAAAACTAAGGAATAGCTGTGGGGATTATAAATGTAAAGCTGTCTCTTTATGGCTAATATTTCACCTTTTATTGAAGGTAGAATCAAATTAACCTGACTCAGATATGTCTTTGTATCAGACACAACTCCTGATCCTTCTTGCCAAATGTACAGAAATGTCATTTCCTGGCAACTACAGAATGCAAATTCCTGATGGATTAAATTGCCTAGAACTTTATGCTTCAAGTTTATTTCTCCCCTAGAATGTAAAGGACAAATTACTATAGTTCAGATAGACAACTGCACAGAGATGTCACTTAAGTAGAGGACATTGGATGCAGTTTTCCAAGCATATTCAAATTCTCCAATGCAGACCTTAGAGACAGGTGAACACCATCCATAAATGCACAGGAAAGGAGGAACTTGCTGGGATGTTAGCAATGTGTTTTGTTGTTTAAGTCACAGTTTACATTCAATATTTTGTATTGGTTTCAGGTGTACAGCACAGTGGTCAGATAATCATGCATTTCACAAAGTGCTCCCCCTGAGAAGAAAATGAATGTATTTTTAAATGAACTTTTAAAGAAGTTGAAACTAGTAAAATTTCACATTCACTTTATTGACTGCTGAAGTTCAGTCTTTGATGCATCTTCCAGCCTTCTCTGATACTGTCTTTCTGAAGCTTTTCTACGGTAGACATCATCTGTATTGAACAAAAATTTTACTTAGATTTTTAAGAAACAAAGGAACTAAAAATACTCAGATCTAAGTAAGTTAACCAATAGTCTAAGTCAGTCACTGTATCTGAATCTCAATGTTAGTGTTTAATTCAATGCCAAAATAATTTAAAATGAGTTAAATGAGGCTATATTAATGGAGTTCTGGACTTCAATAGCAGGTAAGAGTCTTCAAATATAGGATCATGTCCTATAGCACATCTCTTGGCAGTGTTTTAAGATTTTAATGTCTCCCTCACTTCCTTACCTACCACAATTTCTATTCTCTCTGAAATAACCCTTCCTAACTGAAACCTGGCGTCTCAAAAGTACTTCCTGATCTGTGACTCTGCTGCTTCCCGTCCCACACCCAGAACTCCGCGGGGAGCTGAGGTCAGTTTCCTTGTTCTCTGCTGCTGCTTTTCCACACTGATTTGCCACCCTCTCTTCTTTTGGGGCTTATGCCATTTGCCATCTTGTCTACACTGGCACCTGCTTGCCATCACTCCCTTTCAATCACTGAAAACAGCATCTAGCTCAGGCTCCTTGACCCTGTCCTGTGCCATCATCCCAGGCAACACCGCCCCCCCCCCCCCCCGCCCCACAGGGATAAAGCAGGAGCATCCTTCACCTCCCAGCCTGCTCCACTCAGCTTCTGCCACCCATTGGAGGGTCCTCTGAAGTAGTATATTCATTCTTTTCTGAGCACAGCCTCTACTACCTTTCTAGCCCTTCTGTCCTTGGACCTTTACCAACTTCTTCCCCAGACCGTTGGACCTTGAGAACCCCCTTACCCCGCCTCTCCTCTCTCTTCCTGCCCAAACCAGCTGAAATTCCTTCTCTGATCAATATCGACTTCTTGACACACCTTCAAAACCCCAACTACAGCCTAATCTAACTTCTTTCTCCATGCCTCACTGTTTTGCTTTGCACTGTGGGGCCAGTGATATATCTGACTGGGTCCACTGTGATGCCTGACAATCCTGTTTCCTCAGCCAGGACCCTGACCCTTCTTCAGCCACCCCCAAATGACCTTGAACTTTCTCCCAGAGAAAAATCATCAGGAATGAACTCTCCCAGCTAACTTCCAAGGGCTACTCCTAATGCTGTGCTCTGATCTCATCCTCTCCCACCTTCTCAAGGGCCAAGGTATCTCCATTCTCTCTCCACCCTCTCTTTCCTGATCAGATTTGCCTATCTTCATGTCTGTCCTGGTGGGGGAGAGGGGACTTACACCCCATTTGCACAGTCAGCTTTCTGAAACTCCTGTCTTCTGTGATAACAAACCCTCCTGGGTTCCCTGCTTGCCTCTCAATCACCCTTAAAATGTTGGGTTTGACTCTGACTGTCATCACAGTCTGTGAATGACCCACAAACCCAAATCTATGGCCCAGATCTGCCTCCTGAGCTTCAGACCTGTATAACCATCTCCACTTCAGCATATCGAAATGGAGTCCAGGACTGTCCTACCAATATTCCCCCTGCTGTAGCTATTCTACCAGAAGCCTCCACTCCTCATCTCGAGTCAACTCAATCACCAAGCCCTGTCACAGCTACCTCTTAGGTGTCCTTCAACTCCATCATTTCTTGCCATCCCTTCTGTTCCCACCAAAGACCAAGCCACCATCTCAAACCTGAGCAAACACACAGCGTAAGTGTTCCTGCCAGGCTCCTCTCCACAAGACGCCATTCCCCCTGTGTGTTAATCCACTACTGCTTAAAACCTTTCCATCCTTTGGGATACATCCCTGGTTCTCCAGTCTCTTTTTGGACCTGCCCAGGCACCTTTCTAACCACTTCATCTCTCACTCTGCTCACCTGTTTTGGTCCCTCACCCCCACACCCCCATGTCTGCTCTTACCACTGGCATGAAGCACTTTCAACTTCACAAACATTCACCTCGTCTGACTCATACCTACTCAATCTTCAGGGCCTCCCTGACATGGTAACGCCTGGAAGCCTACCCTGAACCATCTAGTCCAATTGAAGTGCCTCACCCAAGACTCCCATGTTTCCCCCACTGTCTCCTCGGGGCACTGACCACACTCAATAATAACTGTCTTCATAATCTGCTTTTGTTAAGAGTTCGGGGGTGGAGGACCCTCTGCCTTGTTCATTATATCCTCTCATCAGTGCTCATTAAAAACTGATGAACGTATGACCCTGGCTGGTGTGGCACAGTGGATTGAGCGCCAGCCTGCAAACCTAAAGGTCACCGGTTCAATTCACAGGCAGGGCACATGCCTAGATGGCAAGCCAGGTCCCCAGTTGAGGGCATGCGAGAGACAACCACACATTGATGTTTCTCTCCCTACCTTCCTTCCCCTCTTTTTAAAATGAAATAAATCTTTTAAAAAAACTGATGACTGGATGAACAGAAGGAATAAATATTTTTTAAAAAGCACTACGTTAACTTTTTTTTTTTAATGAGGGTTGGTAATTCACAGGTGATAGTGTTTCTGGAGGGACAAAGGCAGAAAGGGTCTAGGAGTTGGGGAAGTCGTCCCAGAAAACAAACTAGCCTGTCCACAGCTAGTGCTCAGCAAAGCAATGTCAGGCATTCTGTTCACAGTGCTGGTCCCTGGTGCCAATGACTCTGCCTGTAAAGATAGTGGTGATTAGCTGCGCCGGGCAGACCAACTCCCTCCAGGGTTTGGACTGGAGTCCCGAGAGAGGACTGGCCAGTTAACAGGAGTTTCCATGAATCCTCAGGATCCCACCCCCTTCTACCATGCTGTGAGCAAGTCTGTTTCCTAGGCCCAAATGATGTCCCCAGCAGGCTTGAGAGGAGTGTGTCCTGAGCGGAGTCACCTGCCCTCCCCTCAACATGTAGGCAAGGTCTCAAGGCTGGACACCAAAGTGTCTTTGTTGTCCGGCTTACAGGAGAGCCTGGGGGATCTCCAGGGCCCAGTGAAAGAAACTGCACTTGCCCTGCTGACTAGAGTAAAAGCAGTTCTGCGCTGTGAGCGCAATGAGCTGTCTACAACTAGGAACGAATATCTCCCAGGAAAATAGGTCCTACGCCGCCTCCTGCCTTCCTGCAATGAAACGACGCTGTTGCATCCCCACTTACAGAACGTCTCCTGGCCCACGCGCACTTTAATCATGATCCACTCCATTGTTCCTCCCAGGACAAAAAAGAAGGGCAGAAACCTGTAGACGCCGAATCGCTGCTTTCCGGGCACGCGCTGCAGAACCCGCCTCACCTGGGCCCTGGAAAACATGCCCAGCTGAGGTCGGGGAGAGTACGGCGGAACCAGAAGCGGGAGAAGCTGCCTCAGCTACTGGACTGAGGCGTCCGAGTGGAACCGAGACCGTCCTGCCTGTCCTTGTCCAGCCCGGCGGTCGGCTTTCCTGAGCGATCACCGCCTTGCCCTACCAGTAGGGGAGAGCTTCCGAACCTGAGAGCCGAGCTCGTAGACCGGCTCCACCAATCAGAGCACAGTAGAGTAGAATTCGGCCGCGACGGAGTGCGCGTGCTCCGTGAGGCTCAGCCCGGCTTGAGGGAGCTCACGCAGGCGTCTCGACTCTGGAGGCGGGGCGGCGCAAGGAGGCGCGGCCTCCCACGTGGCGTCTGCACGGTGGGGTACCGAGGCCTCTACCCTGTGCTAGTGCTGAGAGTTGGAAGCCGTCCCCCTGCTCTGGCACCGCCATCTTTTTTCTTCAAGTCCTGCTGGAAGAGAGGTCTCTCTCTTGATGGACTAAACGTGTACTGCACTATAATATAAACTGCAATTACGCAACGCCTTGCATTTATTTCGGGGTTGTGATTGGTGACTATTTCTAAAAATAAGAATTTGATATGCCTTGTTGAAAGCTTACCATTTTCACAACAAAAGTCTAAGTAAGCATCTTGAGACAAACAACCCTAAAATTAATTAAAGGTATCCAGTATGGGGCACTCACCACCATGCAAGGCCTTGTACGTGCTTTTTATGCATCATCTCATTCACAATCACAGAAGAACAGAATGACAAGGGCGTGGGCTTTATCAAACCACATCCCTCCTCCACATATATTCCCTTAGTCTGTGCCTCAATTGCTACACAAAATGGAGACCTTTCTGTGATGCTGTTAAGATTTAGAGATAATAAAAATAAAGCACTTAACACAATGCCTAGACTATAGTAACTAATCGGTGAAGATTAGCTATAGCCCTGGCTGCTGTGGCTCTGTTGGCTGGAGCACTGGCCCATAAGGGAAAGGCTGCAGGTCCATTCCATTCTGGTCGGGGCACATACCTAGGCTGCCCTTTTGATCCCAGTCCGGCGTTTATGATTCCTGGTTCCAACACACAGATGCAAACAGGAGGCAACCAATCAATGCTTCTCTATCATCAATGTTGCTCTCTCCCTTCCTTTCTAAAAGCAATGAAAAAAATGTTCTTGAGTGAGGATTTTTTAAAAAAAGAATTAGCTATAATATGATAATGATTTACTGAGCCCTAGCTCTTTATATGTATTCCATAGCCTACTGAACCTCACCTCTATTTTCATCATCTCCTATTCTAAATGGAAACTGAGAAGTTGCGATTAAGCCAGGTGGGAGCAGGAACCTTACTGGAGAGCCTTCACTCTTGCTGAGTTGTGCTTGCTGATGTCTTTAATGGGCTTTCACCTCATTACCTTTGAGAAGGAAGACGGCTATTAGACAATCTAAGAAAATCAATCTAAGAACCAGTAAGAGTTTGATGACGTGGACACAAAATCTACAAAAATGGGCTGGAAAAGAGAGTGCAAGCAGGGCCTCCAGAAATGGTCGTAAAGTCTGCAGCTTGAGTGGCCATGCCCAACATGCTGCTCTGATAAACTGCCTGCTGGGGCTGTCACATTCAACCCACTCACACACACCCACTTTGTGCTCATTCCCATTTCTTTTGATGACTCTGGGGGCCACATACCACAAGTGCCCATTTCCTGCCCAGATGAAGCTTACGTGTGGCCAGTTCCCCAGTGCCCACCTAGCTCACAAAGGCCTTCAGGTGGGCACAGCCACCCACCTACAGGCCCACCTTTGGGTCTCCATCCTGCATCAGCACCTGGCCCAGGGTCTGGTACACTGTAGGTCCTCAGACGAGGTACAATGGATACTCGAATGTACCACACCCTTAAGTGTCCAGTTGGCCAGCTCCCCACTAATAGGGCCCAGTGCATGAATTGACACACACGCAGACTCAGAAAACTCATCTGAATAGAAAAAACAAGGGTGGAGAGTGGTTTCAAGCAGGAAAGATGAATTTCATTGGCAACTCTAGCGACGTGGCTAGAAGAGACGAAGGATTTCAAAAGACGGCCTGCACGGGGAGCCAGGAGTGGGGCAGGTCAGTGCAGCCATTTGCTAAGGTCAGGATCTGGCAGGCTCATTGACTCCTAGCCCACCGCCCTTGAGCGCAATGCCTAGTCCTCCCGCTCTGAGTTAATAAGGGTCACCTGGGTGAGGTACAGGGCGGGAGAGAAAAGATGTTGCCTCAGCGTTGCCTGCGCTCCGGATCTCACCATACGTGGAGATGGCACCTGGGAGCGCGCGATAAGGGTTCTTTACTCGCTAACCGAGTGGAACGGACCGGCCTCTGGTCTGCGAGCAGAGCTAGTCAGGGACCGGAGGCGCGGAAAAGGACCCCCACAGCGTGGCTGGGGGAGGGGCGGGGAAGCTAAGGTCAGGAGGACAAGAGGTGGAGGAGGGGCGGGAAGACCCGACCGCGGAGAAGAGAAAGGAGTGGGGGCCGTAGTGAACCCGCAGTGCCTCGGCCGTCTGGGCCCTCGCGGGGACGGCCGTTCTTAGGCTCTCCGACCTCCCGGGTGGGGAACAGAAGGAGTCGCCATCGCCGCCGTGGCGACCGAAGGTGTGGGGGCGCAGCGTACTCAGCCCTGCCGGAGGCTCGGGGGAGGGGGCTGGGGAACCCGTCCCGCCCCGTCCCGGGACCTCCCGCCCCCCGGGCCAAGGGGCGCGCCCATTGGCCGGCTGGGCTCCGCGCGCCGCGCCCATTGGCCGGCCGCGGTGAAGAGCACGCGGCCACCGTGGCGGGCGAGCAGTCGGAGGGTGGTGGACCGGCCGACGGGCCGAGGGCTCTGCGGGCGGCGCGTGGGCATGGCGGGTGCGGGGCTGCGGGCGGCCGCTCGGCGCTGGTTGCCGAGCTCAGGCCACCGGGGGCCGCGAGCCGCTTCGTCCTCGCCCTCATGCCCTGGCTGCGGCCCCCCAGGTCCCGGCGCCCACTGCCCCGGCGTTCCGCGCTCTGCGCCCGCCCCGGCACCCGCCGGCGGCACCGAGATAAGCGCGCACCTGTGGGCTCGTTATCAAGACATGCGGAGACTGGTGCACGGTGGGTGAGCCCGGGTGGGACGGGCTCCGGCTGGGGGAGGTGTCCCGCACGGCTACAGAAGCGCGCCCGGACGGTGGACAGAGCGACCTAGCGCCAGGGCACCGTCTCCGAGCCGTCGGGGTGCCCCTCTTCGGGGGGAGCGCCCTAGTGGGGCTCGCTGGGGCTCCAAAGGCCGGACGGCTCTTCTGGAAAGGCTCCTTCGGGTTGTCCCGGGGGTCTCTGGGGACGCCCCGACTCCCGGAGCAGGCGAGCGGAAGGTTTGTTCCCTGGCTCCGTCTGCAGGAGCTCGAGGTTCCTGAAGCGGCCGCCGGAATGTAGGGCCCCCGCCGTCTTTCCTTGAGGTCCAGCCCGCCGGGAAGCCGCGGCGGAAACGCCCCCAACCCCTTGTTCTCCTAGAGGCCCTTAGTTGGGGCGGGAGTACCAGGGACAAAGCCAGCCGGTGACATTGCCCAGAACAGGCTCCTAGGGACTGGCCTACGTTGGGGGACTCCGATTAGAATTTCAAGAAACCTCCAGATTACTAAACCCTGAAGGCTCGGAGCACTCCGACCTGGAGGGCAAGGAGAAGGGAGGCCACGTTGCTTCAGTCCAGAAGGATTGCGGCATCCTTGGCCAGGGCACTCATTAAACTTCTTGTAGTCTCTCTCCTTCTGCAAAATGATTAGAGGAGGCCTAAAAGCCTCATCTTAGAGGGGACAGTCTGGACCCCACTGATGAGGCCAGAAAGTTGAGAGCCCTGATAGTGTTCATGGGTCCCCTGGGGCCCCTCCTCTGCAGCAGACAGATGTGGTTTGGGTCTTGGCCCTATTCACTCTCCTGGGTAGTGTCCGGTAAGCCTCACTCTCTCAGACCCTCACTGTGTTAGGGCAGCAGTTTTCAACCGGTGTGCTGCAACAAAGCATTTCAGTACCTGGCTATTTAGTCAGGGGCACTGACCTCTTTTCCCTTAGATTGTCGAATTAAAAAATGACAACAGCTAACACAACAATAGCCGTCTGGTGTGACTGAATCAAAATTATACCTTTTTTCAGGGGGGAGGGGGGCCAGATTGACAAAATAAATTTTTTGGTGTGTGCCCCGCAAACTATAATTAGTTTATGTGTGCTATGAGATGAAAAAGGTTGAAAATTGCTGTCTTAGGGGGTAAAACGCAATCCTGGGGCTTCTGTTGCAGGGTTGTAGAGATGACTCAGAAAGACCCAGGCTTAGGAGGGGCAGGGGAGGAACCCCCAGGGGTGACAGGGCTTTCATTGGCTGATAACACAAAGTAGCCCTGTCTGGAATATTTCAGCTGACTGAACTGGGGCTGCCGTGCTAACTGTGTGGAAACCTGGGAATGGGAGCAGGAGGTGGACTGGTCTTACCTGTTGAGAAACCTAAGGCAGAATGATTAAGACCCCTGAGGAATGATGATTTTGAAGCCTATGGACCTCTGTGAGAATGCCACCACCCCACCCTCAGCAGAGGGGGCAGGCCCGGAATGCTACTTAAGGAGATGTCTTTGCTTTGGACCTGGTTAAGACCCTCTCTGGAGCAGCTTGAGAAGCCTACCTAGTAGGGGTTGGGGGAAGGGACTTAGGGGCGTCTATTGGGCTTTGTCTCTCAGGGCCCACATGGATCTTCAGATGTTCACGAAGCCCCCCCAAGCTCCTCTTGATGTGAAAGGGGCAAGGTCATTTCCAGAATTCCAGGGTGAGTGCCAGAATGAGCCAGCCTTCTTGGCCCCTTCTAACTCCAGCCAGCCTAACTCCCCTTCTGACTGGGTTTTCTGGGGGAATTCTGGGCATTACTGTGTGTCTTGGGCTACTGTCTTTAGGCAAAACTTTGCCAGGAAGACATACCTCAAGCCATCCCACCCCCTTCTCAGCAGGAGGCTAGGCTGAGAGGCAAGAGGGGTGGCTGAATTAAAACCTCAACTCCACTGCCTCCCTGAGCCCCAGTTTCTTCCTGTGGATGATAAAGGAGTAAGTGTGACCACCTCACAGGATTGGAGTAAGGATTGAATAAGATGAGCCTCTAAGGCGCCTAGCAACAGCCAGTCTTATGGCTGCCATGAGGAGGGGTTGGCCTTGGTTGCTGGAGCTGGGGGCTGAGGGAGAAGGGA